CTTTCAGAAACTGTATGGTTAAGTTCACAGATTTTGTAAAAAAAAAAAAAATCACAAAAAAGGGGATTTTTGGAGCATCTCCTTTAGAAAAGGTCAGTAAATTCTTCCCTTTATGAACCTTGAAGTATAAGGAATATGTGTTGTATTTTATACATAAAATGACTTCTCTGATAAAGTCATGTATTGTTTTTTGTTTTCATAAGTGGAAATACGTACTAATTTTGCAAACTCATTCATTTTTAATCTTTGAGATACTCTCTAAAACTCCCTAAAACTGTTGTGTTTCTGCACAAAAGGAAGAAGAGAGGTAGAGGCAGTGGTTTGGGGTGGCTTTTTTCTTTTTTCTACTTTCTTCCTGGAAAACACACATACATGTGTGTGCCCACACACACACAAATCCAGCTAATTCCAGCTAATTGCAAAGAAGGCATGGAATGAATCAGGATGGCTGATTCAAGAGGGAGGCTCTATATTTACCAAAATATATTTTACTAAATGTTGTGTGTGTTCTGAAAAATCAGCTGTGATAGACCTAAATCTTGACACTGTGGTTCGGATTTAAACCTCAGGACTGGCATGGATATATTTCATAAGTGCTTGATCTTCTTGGATAACAGTGATGGCTCTGTTTCTGCTGCAGCGCTGAGGATTGGACTCAGAATATGTAACACATCTACACTGAGAAGTGTAGCTACACAAGATACTTGGCTATCCTTTAGTTAGCATTCCACAGAAGAAGTAGCATGTTAAACCCCAAAAGTAGCAAAATAATAGAGGAAATTAACATAGGCCTCCTACAACCCCATTTCCCCCTAAATGTTGTAATGCTTACCCACTGGGATACACCAAGTGATTTCCTTTTGGTTGTTGTCCAAATGCCTTAAAAATCTTACTGCTAGGTCTCTTCCTCAAGTGAGCTGCTCCTCAAAAAGTTCAGAATCTCTGCTCAAAAAGCAAGCTATACTGTGATGCTGCTGCTATGGTTCATATCAAGGTAATGTTCATTCCTCCTAAACTTTGACCAGGATGCACTAATATGGAACTTGATGAATGGGATTTGCACAACGTGTTCAACTTGGTCACTGAATTAAACCCATTTTCTGGATTTGTTTTTCTCTGAGAGAAGTGTCTGTCCCCAATATGTTAACACCTACAACAGTATGTAGCAGAAGAAAACTCCATTTTATTCCTATTGTAACAGTGGCAAAATGCAAAACCGCCCATGGTACAACTGAGGAATTGTTTACAAATATACAAATTATTCTATTTT